TCTCTCTCTCTCTCTCTTTCTTTCTCTCTCTCTCTCTCTCTCCCTCCCTCCCTCTCTCCGTCCCATCCTGTCCAGATCATACAGAAGGTCATCGAAGGAGGAGCGAGGCTCGACGCCCTCGACGCCGAGGAGTACATGCCGATACACCTCGCCGCGGACGAGGGGAATCTGCCCGCGCTCAAGGAGCTCGTCAGGGCCGGCTCTGATCCGGAGTGGCTTAGTGGAGCCCTGCAGCCCCCGCTCGCAAACGCCTGCATGAGCGGCCGCACGAAGTAAGTTTGGAGTACATCGTTTTCGTTGCACAGAAATTGCTAAGTTTTCGATAGGGTACTTACTGGAAGTGTCACGTAACTCTCTGAATTCATTCTGTAGGGTACTGGAAGTGATCTCATCTGTAACATTATGTAGAGTATATGCCCGGAAAATACCCGCGGCACACTTCCTATGGGTACCCTACAGAACATGCCGTTGACAATATACTTGATGCAATCAAAGCAAGGTTGCCCCGTGCGAGAGATAACCTCATTCCCCCGGTTGCAGTTTTAGACGTCCTCCTCCCCAAAACCAAAAACTTGACAATCATGTAACCGTTGCAACACATTTGAACATTTAATAACACTTGCACAAAACACCTGGTATGTGGTGTTGGCTGTTTGGGCGCTTTCACGTGAGGGTTGCGTGCTTGTTGGTGTGACTACTGCTGCTGTGCGCGTGGCACGGAACCGACTTGGATCACCAACCCGCCAGAACGAATTTCCTTCCACGATCAACAGGCAGCAGTAGTGTGTGCCTGCCTCTCGCTTGACAGCCTCCGGAGCGACGTAGGTACGTGAACAACCATAACCTAGCGAAGAGATTGTACCGCGTTTGTAGGGAGAACGTGCATGCCCAATCGCTCACTCCCCAACTTTCTGCTTCCTGCGTCCAATGGCTACAGATCGTTCGACCTTCGGAAAGGTAGCTTTCCAGGGTGATTTTGGTGCACAATCACATCGGCGGAAATGCTGTTATTTCCAAGCAGGGTAGTACCATCAAAATATGCGTCGTGCGAGAAGTGTTTTCGTTTTATGACACCATGTCTACCACGTTGCCATGGAGAGCGCATTGTTCCCTCCAGTCCCGTGTTTTGAACGACTGTCGGGTTATGGTGCGTGTCTCGCTCTCTCACTCCCGGTTATTGTTGACGTCATGTGGGGGGCCTATCTGGTGGCGGTTCAATAGTGCGGCCGCCCGGTATTCGGCGGGCACAGACGGGATGAGAAAGTATTAATGTGCTTCCAAATAGTGCCGGTGAATTTTCTGGGCACATACCGGCACTAGGCACAGGAACCGCTACTGCTGTACCGCTTTTTTTTTTGTCGTTTTTGCGGGGCGAACCGAGTTTTCAGGGTCGCCAAGTACCTGCTAGAGACTTGCAACGTGGACGCAGGGACAGCAGACAGCGTAGGCTACACGCCGCTGGCGATAGCCGCCCAGGGCGGGCACGTTTCCATCGTACGGATGCTACTCAAGCGGGGCGTGGCCTTCCTGGGGACAAACGCCTACCGCGACGCGATCACGGGTGTTGCCATGACGGGAAACATTGAGATGCTCCGAGAGCTTGTGTACGTCGAGGGAGGGGTGAGATGTCTTGCATAATCGGGATCTCGCGTAGGTGGGAGAAGCGGGTGGTGTGGCCAGTGACTGTTGTTTGAAGTTGTGATCGCGAGTAGGTTTTTTGGCGGCTGTTTTGTCTAGTGGTGTTGACGCGAGAAGGCTTATTGTTGTTTTTATTCTCGACGGACGACTCCTTTGTTGGCCAACCTGACGCGTGTCCGGTTTGTCGTTCTCCGTAGAGCCTGGAGCAAGAAAAGGCCACCAGGCCACCAAGAAAAGGCGCCCACTTTTTATACCACTCCATTTGGGATGATACAACATGCACGTTTGTGTCCGGACGGCCCTTCCGTTTTCTAACAGGGGGGTGCAAAATATGTCCCATGGAATGAAGGTGTTGCGTGTACCTTACACCACGTGTGAACTAAAACAGGTCCATCTCCTAGGCGCAAAGACCTCGCAGCTCATGACGGCGCTACACTTCTCGGCCGGCTACTGCCATGCCCGAGCCACGGCCTTGCTGCTCCACGCCGGCGCCGACGAGGGCGCGGTGGACAGGAACGGGGACACACCCCTCAACGTGGTCGACACCAAGCGGTCCCCCCAGGTGCGGCATGGGGTCGGCCGCCGCCGCGTGAGGCGCATGCTGCTGCAGGGGCCGGCGTACCGGGCCCTGTCTTGGAGGTGGCCCGCCTCCCCCGCGTTTGAGACGACTCCTGATTCCGCCGCCGCGATGGGCGGTGCTGCTCTCGCTCTTCCGGGGCTAGATGCGGCGGAACCGGGATCGGCGAAAAATGCGGCGCAATTGATTCCCTACCCCGAGACGGAGAAGGAGTGGGTGGATCGTGACGAGAGTTTCGACGAGGCGTTCGCGTCTGCGATGGCCGGGTCGTGGAGGCTTAACCTTAACGTGGCGGTCTTTCGCCGAAGCCGGCCGCCCCCGCCGCCCTGTGGCAGCGATAACGGGTCCTCTTCGGCGGAGCAGCGTGCGGCGCTCGTGTCGCGCTTTGAAAGGTGTGTCTTTGTGTGTGTGCCCCGTGTGAGCAGCTTGGTGTGCGGGGGTGGGGGTGGCCAAAGAAATGGTGGGTGTGTTGGGAGGGGGGTCAACGTAGGTGTCGGTAGAGAGGAAGGGAGCGAGTTCCGATATGGCGCCTGTGGCGCGAGCGAGCTCGTCCCCCCTAGTCGTTGTTGCTGCCGGCTGCAGGGTTGCTCGCGTACACCGAAGTGTAATGTAGTTCTGTCGATTCCATTTTGAAGAGGTGCCGCAGTAGAAGGTCGTGGAAAGCGGCGCGTCGATACTGTAGCTCTGCTTCCGTATTGTGTTATGTGGTACTCGGTGCATGGAGGGCGTGGCATTGTTGGTCATGCGGCGGCCTGTAGCGGTAAGGTAAGCTGCTATTGTGTGTTAAGTGCTAATTGCAAGTGATTTGTGTTGGGTTCTCGCCTTCTTTTATGTCCTCTCGCTATATTTTCGTTCTTTTTGTGCCCACGACTTTTGGTTTGTCCATGGCTCTCTTATTCCGCTCGATCGCTCTCCCCTCTCCCCTGCCTGTGTCATTTTCTCCCTCTGCTCCTGACCCCCATTCCCTGTGAATCCTCTCTTGCCCCCTCCCTATTCCCGTCCCATGTCTCCACCCTCTCCTCGGTATGGTGTTTGTACCAACCCCCGCCGTCGCCTGTCTCCTCATCGCCTCCACCCATGGCAGATATACGTGCAAAGTCTAGACAGCGTGATTGAAGACTTTCTTCACAAATGGATATTATCGCTGCACGTTATTTTGCTGGCCTACAACATTCAAGTGCATGTTACGGGTAGACTGCTCCGCATGCGCATAACGTGCGTTGGGCGCAGCAGGCAGGCAGCGCATATGTTTCTTTTTAGCTGGGTGCAGGAACCCAGTGGACGGTGACAGCCTTCTTCACTTCGCTTCATGCTAGTTCCTTCTTGTTGGTCTTGGTTTTGCGAGTGTGTTCGGGTACCGTAGTGTTTGGTTGAGCTGGATTAATCAATTGGGCACATGTGGGGACGGCTAAGAGTAACATGGAAGTTGAAGGTACAGGAGGCCACGGGGGAAGGTAGATAAGATAATATTGTAGTGTTTGTGCGTGCTGTTTACTAGATTGAACCGCCGCCTTTGTTTCATGTTTGTTTTTCTTGACCACAGCAGGATTTTTGAGGATTATTACGAAACGTTTTTTTCTCGAAATCGTTCGAGAATGCTTCGCTGTAAATTCAGAGGTTCGTGTAGAATTTTTGTGCGTCTTTGTTCGCTCGTTTCTCTCCCCCGCACCCCGTACCGTACAGCATGGACCGGCGACAGCTTGGCATATCGTTCTCCGTTCCGGCATTGTAGGGATGCGAGGAGGTCAATGATATTACGACTGCAGGTACGGCATGCGTTTACATGAGAACACCACCGGTTGTTACCTCTACTGCTCATCTCAGCACACCGTTGCTCCAGGTTATTCATAGGCGTTTGCATATTAATATTCTTTGTCAGTCGATCGGTAAAGGGGATGAACACGTGATGGTTTCAGATGCCGTCTTCCTTCGGTTATGAACAATTTTGTACTGTTGTGACCCTGGATTGATGTAGTTGTACGATAAAATACACGGGAAGAGTGAAGTACTCTCCACTGAAAAGTGTAGTACACGTCTTACCACGAAATTGGGGGGACTTCGTCACCATCAGCAATGGGATGATTCAAGAAATAAAAAAAGGGCGCGGTCGGGGTGGCAGGTTTCCTCTTCAAAATCCATGAAACGCCGGCATACAACTAACTGCTGTCGTTAAGAAATATTTTGTCGAGAAATTGAGGCTCGCTTTTTCACGAATAAGAAAATAGGGTTTAGAAACATAACTCAATCTGCGTCACACAATAAGAAATGTCTCAATAAGAAACACAGCGGCGACCGCTGCCCTACCCCCTCTCCCCCGACCCCCTCTACCAAAGTGCATTATTATTATTAGTTGTCCGACGAGGTGGGAGTGTTTTTTTTTGCGGCGCCCCCTCCGGCCCCCTGTAGGCTCTGCCACGCTCTCTGCTGGCGCTAAAGCTTTGGCACAGCACACCAGACAGGCTGCGAACCACGACATGCTGTCTGCTGTGCATGGCTTTGATGGTTCTCTCCGCCAGCTCTCGTGAGGACTTGGCCAAGCTGGTCACCCTCAGAGATCAACAAGAACTGTCGACGAGCCAGCTCGGAGACATCAAGAAGCACCGTCTAAACAACGAGCCTCTGTCTCACGATGTCTGGAAAGGCATTGAAGAGCTGCGGAGTTTGAGGTCTTCCGATATCCTTCAAAGAGCATGTGCAGCATCTCAACGGAACATGTGGCGTCACACCAGCAACACAACGTCACCGGCGAAGGGTGCACTAATGGCATACCGACGATCACAAACATTCAGAACAACCACGATTTGGGTGCAAGACAACGCGCAAATGACGGCGGAAAGAAACACGCAACAGTGAACAGAATTTCCTCGAATACAAGTTGCTTGATTTCATCACGACCTCAAACTGGTACCTCCACACAAAACAAGACAACAAAATCCAAGCTTATTCCAACTACTCCACCAACTTATCTTGATGGCGAAGCACGCCTTTAGTTCCTCACGTCCATCCTGACGCATTGTTTTCTCCACCGCTCGTTCCCGGCTGATGAAATGCGCGCGGCACCTCCCCACGCGACTTTGATGACACCCACTTAGCTGTGCCCCGTTCCACCACCCACCTCCGGCTGATGGTTGCGCGCCACCTCCGCGCGACTGAATATGCTACTCCCCCCGCTCCTATGACGAGGCAGAACAGCCACGGCCCCTCCGTCCGTGCTGGGTTTGCGCGCCACCTCCGCGCGCCTTATAATGCTGCCCCCCCCGTTCCGACGACGAGGAAAAGCAGCCACGGCCCCTGTTGATAAAGCGGTAGCTTCTGGGGAAAAGTAGTTGAATTAAAGAG